GTCGACAGCCTGGGCCAACTTTTCTACAGCCTTGTAACAAAGTGTAGCTAAATTCGCAGGATTATCGTTTCTAATTTGACGTATTTCACTTGCTGTCACCAGTGCAAAGACATCCTCCAGCGTTGTTTGATGCGCCTGCCAGAATTGATCCCAGAACTGGTCATCGTTGTTGTCAATCTTTTGATTCTTCTGCGTCAGCTGAACAATTGCTTTGCGAAAGTTTAGCTTTGAGTCGGTGTTTCCCATATTGTGTGGTTGTTAATGTGTAAATACGTCTTTGTTGCAGCTACTCTGTTTGCTATTGCCTCAAACAAAGTGAATACAATTGCAGTGTTGGAGTTTTACATAAATTTTGCTTCGTCTTCAATGAGAAAATTAAGAAATTCGCCTACGCACGACTAAGAAAATAGAGTATCAAGTGTGTTGTTGTTGTTGGTTGCCAGCAGAGGTGTCATAGTGTATCGATTTGCTATCGAACTCCAACAAGTCTGGCAGCACTTGCTTCATAATCGCTGACACAGCCAAATAATTCTAGTTAGCTCGTAACGAACAAAGTGAAATGTATATTAATTTTAATTTAATTCCCTAAACGTTAGTAATTATTTATCTTCAGCTCGCTAAGTAACGATAGAAGCCATTTAACATTGCCAATAGGGCACTAGCGACACGATAGCTAACAATCGTATAGGATAATCGTTAATTTATCATGATGAGCGAAAAACAGCTGGCAGCAAAAGTATCGATAATTTCCGCAACATTTATTGTTTTTCATGCAAACTGGTCCGGCAAATTGTTTAAATGTCGTTCAAATTGGTTTAAGTAATTCTAAAATAGAATGGGTTATGATGAACGCAGCGATGGCAGTAGCTCTAGCGATGCACAAGATTGTTTTCAACGCAACATGTCAACGAAAATGGGTACACAACAGGTCACGATGCCTAAGCATATTCCCTTCCCGGAGCATGCAACCACATCAGAATGGCTGAGTGAGCTTATAATGTGCGCCTTTACCATGGGCGCAGCTATTGTACAATTCATAAACATTTACCGCACCAACTGGTGGTTGCCGCAATTCCAAGCACGCCACATGGTGGTATGTAATAATTGGATGGAAATATAAATCCGACTTAATACTCCTATTTCATTTGCAGAACATTGAACTAATCGATCCGTATTTACGTTACCTTATTCTCATATTGAATACGAGACGATTTCTGTATTGTATGCTTTTGGCCAAATGGAAGAACAATGAGTGTCGCATAGTCCGCATGAGCATTAAATATGGCTTCGGTGGAGTCGTTCAGCTAGGTCTGTGCTATTGCGCTTTCAGGCTCTATCAGACACACACCTACATGTTGCTCTTCTATCTAAGTTATCCGTAAGTAATTAAGTAATTTATACTTTTTCTACTACATATTTGCTATCCTTTTAGTGTTATGGTCTATCTCCTCATCTTTGGCTTCCAATTGGAACCGTTTCTACGCACTCGCTTCGAAGTACCTGGCGTTTATATTAACGATCTGCCCGTGCATAGCTGCACAACGAATGCCGCTCAAATACGCGACGAAATTGAAACGCTTCGTCACGATTTCAACAGACGCTTCAAGCAGTTGATCTTCACATGCATGCTGAATGCCTATCTAGTGCTCATACCCTGCCTTTTGTCATTGAGTGTACAGTATAATGTCATGCGTGCGGCACAGCACTGCATCATCGTTTGTTTGGGTGCATTTAGCTTGTCAGCTGTCTTTCAATATCCGGCAAAGTACAGCGATACGCTACATCGAGCCACTTTGCATTTGGGCAGCTGGCAGCGCATGGATCGCGATCCACAGGCAGCGCCGTCGCAACTAATTGTGGCAGCGAACGCACAGAACTGGTCAAAGTATACTGTCTACGGGCATGGGACAGTAGTAAAGCACAATGGAGCGCTCTATCGGAGTCACGGCCTGGTCACTGTTGCCACGCCCGGCAATGCCAGTCATCTCCGATTCTATGTAAGTAAAACTCTTCTATATTTTTTAGCCAGATACTTATATATCATTATCTCTATTCACAGAAGCTGTTCCACAACCCCACTGTCATTTACTCCACATTAGCATCTCTGCAGGCAGCAGTGCTCCTAGTGGAGATTGCATCATTGAGCGCTGCCAGCATTGAATGGCATTTTGTACTGTCCATTAGCTTTGTAGCATTTACTAGCATGGTCGCTTTCTTCAAGCTGGTACGAGATTATTTGATTACCAAACATTTGTATAAAGCAGAATGTTCCACCATTTACAATTAAGTTAGCTAAGAGCAGAATCATAGCTTTACCATAGCTATATGAATAGGATATAATCGAATTGATATATGGACAGCTTAAATTAACTAATTCAAGTTCAATATGTAGATCTTGTATCTTAAGCCAATGATAAATGTAAAATAACATAAGAAAATAACAGATAATATAGACTAACGTTCAATAAATTAAACAGACAAACTATTCTAACTATAAAATCTTGTATACTTTTATGTAACAGGCAGAAAGAATCATGAATTTCGGTTAACCAAATCTGTTTTAATTTATATATCAATTAGAATACAGAGTACACCCTAAGGAAATATTTAATATTTTCCAGTTCAATTACAAAATTTAACAAAATAATTTAGACTCTTCTAGTAGCGGTCTTGTGCTCTCTGTAAACCCAGGAGCTACCCTGTTTGTGATCGCGCACATTGATGCCATGTTCCTGAAGAACATTTCGCAGCCTATCAGACAGTTCAAGCAGTTCCAATTTCTTCACATTCGCCGATTCAGCTGCCTGCTCTCGCAGTTGACTTCGAATAGCTAGCAGATCAGCAACCAGCAAATTAACATCCACTTGAGCAGAGCTATTTGCTTGTTGCTGTTGACTCAATAGATTCGATGAGTCGGCTAGCGAGCTGATGCCGAGGTTAAGCATGGATGAGCCTATAAAATTTCCTGCTGCCAGCAGCAAATCAAGACAATGGCCGGGCTCCTGCTCTGCATCTGCTGATTGGTGATTGATGCAGCGGCTGATGCTGCTCATCTGGTCCATTAAGACACTAATGGCACGTGCTGTATCAAAGTCATCGCGAAGACTATTATCAAACTCCAATACCATATGATCTAGCTGCGACTGCAGTGCACCCCTGTCCAGGAACTTAGGCGCCTTTTGGAATTGCATATACGCGTTCAGATCAGCATGGAAATTCCTGAATTTCTTTAATGTCTGACGCGCGGTCAACATTAACTGATCGCTGTAAGGCATGGCATTATTGTAATTGGAGAGGAGGCAGGCCATACGAAACTCATCCGCTGTATAGCTCTTCAGCATTTCATCTACGGTTATTGTATTTCCCAATGACTTGGACATTTTTTGCTGATCACCCAACAAATGGAGTTGACCAGTGTGCAGCCAATAGTTGACCCATTGATTTTTTTTGAAGTGTGCACAGCATTGAGCTTCCTCATTCTCATGATGGGGAAAGCGCAAATCGAGGCCACCCGCATGAAAATCCAATTCTTCACCGAAAAACATTCCAGCTATTGCGCTGCATTCTATATGCCATCCTGGACGCCCTTCACCACCCCATTTCGAGCTCCAGCTGGGTTCGTACTTTGCTTTTTTCGCCTTCCACAGTGCAAAATCTGCGGCACTTCGTTTCCCTTGCTCGTTCTCTTGGAGGGCCCATTCCTCTTTGCTGATGTTCTGCAATTTGCCATAGTTCTGGCACTTACTTACATCAAAGTAAACAGATTTATCCTCGGCTACGTATGCCTGCTGATTTTCAATCAGTTGTTCTATAAAGCGCTGTATCACAGGTATATTGGCCGATACATGCGCTCGCATGTTGGGAGGTTTTACATTCAACCGCAACATGTTCTCCTTGAATTCCGCATCGTAAGTTCGTGCCAGCTCCTGCCAATTACGTCCCTGTTCTTTGCTACGTGTGATAATCTTGTCATCCACGTCGGTGATATTCATAGCTGTTATTAAATTATATTTAAAGTAATCTCGCAGTATGCGCTGTATTATGTCCACCTTTACATAGGTACTCGCATGCCCCACATGCGTTTTATCATACACTGTTGGCCCACATGTGTACCAGGTAACCATATGTGGATTGCGCAGCACCAACGGCACTTTGCCACGCACTCTGTGATTATAAATGTTGATGCCGGTGTACTCGCCGCATGGTCTTTGCCAACTGTTGGCAAATGTTTGTGTTGGCTTGGAAGAGCTGTTGCTGTTCATCGAACGACGAAATTGTTGCGAATTGACGGCTCTTTTGCATTCTTCTAAACGACAGCTACTACAAAGGGAATGTCAGCGGTATTCATAAATATAATAAATATGTGTTAAACGCACTTCCGTACTTACAGTTTTAACATATTTTTAAGTGACTGACAACAATTAAAAATTTAAAATTTTGTCTAAAGTTTTTGTTTTGATTTTCAGCAACAGCTGATTCCCTATTGAAGCTATTGATATCGGTAAATATTTTGTTATAATAAAACCGATATATGTATATGGAGCTGTTGACGTATGAAAGTCCAAGATATCGATATCTGTCAGTTTGTAACCGCGAGTCGTCCCTGGTTTTCAAAAATTATTCTGGTAAAATGTTAATCAGCAATGAAGGAATGTATTAATAGGCATAATTCATATTACTTGATTAACAAGAAGGAAAATAAAATATTGATATTTACTAGTTACAAGGACATTAACTAGCCAAGGTAGCGAGCCTTTCTGTGCATATATGCTGTTTCTTATGAAGTCCGCAGTAACCAATCAACAATGTATACTCTGTCAAGACTACACAGTTTTTGTACCCCATTAAATACCTCAAACTTTTAATTTCAGCAATTTTGTATATGTATTTTTTTTATTTTTATTTTATTTTTTATTAGATTGTGTATTTAAATTTCAGATGAAATATTTTAATTAAATTGTTTTAAAATGTAAATATGTTTAAAGTGTAAACCTGTTGTTTGTAAACATATTTAGAAAAGCTTCCTTAGTTCTATTTTTTTTGTTATTTTATTTTATTTTATTTTTTTTTTATGTACTAAATCAATATACTTAAGTAAAGTGTGAAAATCATGCTCAACCGACTACATAATACTCGTTCATGGGCCCAAAATTATGTTTTCTGATTTGACACATCTTAATGGGCAATCAATATGCCTAGGTGTAAAATCACTCAACCAAGATGTCAAGAATCGAATTAACTGAAATGAAAAGAATGATTTTATAGCTATAAACTTCAAACTTTTATGTGTCGCGTGTTTTTTATACATACAGACAGATGGACGAACATGGCAGAAAACCAACCAACTCTCGTTTCACTTTCAGAATGAGCGTGAAAAAGCATTGTTTAGCAAATGGCAGAAATCATACGCACCATGGTCAGGCCGTTTGCCAAAAACTTTAGTCAATGCGTAAGCAAAAAATACGAGCATTGAGGTCAAGGATATTCATGCCACAAGCAGGTGAGAAATCGGAAAAGAAAAGTAGCGTAGTATTTTTGGTAACTAAATTAAATGTGACTTAGGCATTCGCTGTGACCCAGCTGGCGGGATGGCTGGCTGGCTGGCTGGTTGACTGGCTGAAAAGGAGGTTAAGTTAAATTGGGGGCAAATTAAAAGGGAGTTAGATTTGCGGCCTGGAATTCCCCTTTTGCATATTACGTATACATAACTATATTCGTAAATGGAACACGCTTGTGCCGGTAATTGGATATTTCACAGATTTGGGCTTGGTCAATTGTTCACTTCTCGGCAATTGATATTAATTTATTGGCTGTGCTTTTTAAATCGGCATCGCGTGAAAACATTTGTGCGCCCAGAAATTAGCATGAATAAGCTATATTGCTTGTTGCTGTTGCTATTGCAGTTGCTGTTGCTGTTGCAGTTGCTGTTGCTTTTCCAGTTGCTTTGCTGTTGCTGCTTCTTGTGTTGGACTGCACCCAGTGCAAGGTGCAGCTCCGAATAATAGAAATTAGATTGAAAGCCTGGTCAGGCTAAGCTGGGCCATGCCAAAATATGATTCTGGGTTTGGTATCCTGCTGATTAAGGTCAGCAAAGCGATTACATTGACTCAGCCAAGGAAACCCAGCCCAACAAAACCTTTCCGCCCCTAATGAGTGACCAACAATTACAAAAACTATTCGAGAATTGCAATGGCCAAGCATAATTTATTGGAGAATCATCTGAGAAATATATTTAGAAGTAGGTCTAAATTCAAGTATGATTCAAGTAGACCTGTAAAATTGTATATATTAATTTGTTGAATTTCTAAAAAAAACAAGCAAGTAAATTTTCTTTTCCTTTTACTTTTTAATAAATCATTTAAATAAACAGATTTCAATTAGATATCAACTTTAAAAACGTATTTAATTTTTTTGTGAAAGAAAACATGAATTTAATTTTGTTAATTTTGTTTTTTTTTTTTATTATTATTACTATTTCATATTTTATTTTTTACTTTCTAAAGATTCCTGCTAGCTTAGCTTGAGAAATTTAGCGACCTTGGGCAGAAACCCAGAAGAGCTCTCTACGCTTAAGCCTCTGCACAATGCCGGCTTTCTCTAAAGAGGCACGCAGTTGCAATTGAAAAGCCGAAAAAAAGGAAAATCAAAACAACAACAAAAAAACTAAATTCAAATCTATAGCCATAGAATGTCAGTCTAACAACAACAAACACAACAAACAGTGGCAAGTTTTCATGTCCAAGGCGTATTTATGTCAACCGGAAGTAGGTTTACTGACCCACGTATACGTTTCAATACGACGGACAGCCGAAGACTTCGTCCGTTAAAGCACACTTCGGCTGCCCAATAGAGGCGACTACTGCTGGACATATCTGAAACTGGCTGCCTTACCTTAGCTTAGCTGCTTGTCCAGGTGGCATACGAAGACGACGAACAACGACAACGACAACTCGTACTATAAGAAGGCATTTTCTTTCAACGTTTTAGTTTTCCAACGAACGGCAAGTGCATCGGATCGATGCGAAAAGCGCGTTGTGCTGACTCCTTAATTCGATTTAAATAATTGTATGTACACACACACACACACACACACAAACAAATTTAAGTGTTGCTTACACAGTGTGGCACTTAAATGAAGTCAAACACAGCTCCTTTTAAGTGTATACAATTTAGAGCGCAGCTCAGCTAATAAAAGCTTGCATGAATATCAAATGTTTAATCAATGCCGGAGATAATAACACTACAAGTTAATTAAAAATGTGAAAAGAAAGGGTATCTAATATCAAAATTTCCTTAATAGAATATATTAGAAGCTGTTTAGAACTTGGATATATGGATATGAAAAAAAAAAAAACGATGCATCTACGAATAAAAGATTAAGAAAAAAATAAATAAAAATATGTATATTTAATATATATTTGCAAACTAAAAATAAAAACCAAAGACTAGTATAATTGGCTTTGACGAACTAAAAAGATAATTAGAATGATCTGATATAAGACATTTAAGTTTAAACAAATCTGTTGCGCTTATAGAATAATAATAATAATAATTAAAATTTATTTTTAAAAAGAAAAAACCAAATTAAAATTTTACCATTTTTGTTTTAGTTGATACAAATTAAAAAAAACAACAACAACAACAAAAATTATATTAATTAAAAAAAAAAAAAAATATAGTGAAATGAACAATATGAAGAAAAGAAAAAAAAATATGTACTTTCAACAAAAAATCAAATCGAATTATTCTAAGCTTAAAGCAATCTGGTTGCTCAAAACAATCTGTTGAAATTTATTGAATGGGGAAACCCAAAAGGAAAATTCTTAAAGCGAAAGAAAATTGCAAAGTGTTAAGCTGAATGGAAATTTGCCATCTCGACACTAACCAAGGATTTTCCTTTTTTTTTTCGTTTGCTTGCGGTGTGCTCCATGTATCAGTATGTGTGTGCCTGTGTATGTGTATGTCTGTGGCACATTAATAGACGTTGCTGTTGTTGTTGGCTTTAGGCAGACTGTGTTGTGTTGCAACTAGACGGACGCCAAGGAGCGTGGCAAGTCGCGTTGGTCATTCAAGTGCCGCCTGGTTGTTGACTTGTGTAAAATTGTTGCTAGCCCAAAGCCAAGGAGAAGGCAAAAGGCAAACGAAGCCTAGACCCAACGATGTGAGCGCGAGTGTAACACACACACATAGCTATGTGTGTATGTGTCTGAATTGAAAATAGATTTCACGTCACTTTTTAAGCCAAAAGTTTGGTTTAGCTTTACGCACAGCCTTTTCAATATAGGTTAATCAAATTGTTTTGAGGCTTAGAACGCATGCGAAAATCGTGACACACACATACATATGCCTATATTTATATATATGTATATACACACACACGCATACAATGTATATCGCGTGTCATACCAACAGGTGCCACGCGGCAAGTGAACAAACACAAACACAAGCGCGGTGACTCTCACACACACACACACATACATAGAAGCATCGCTTGCAGGCAATGGCGCCGGCCGTCTCTTCATTCGCTTACTGTTTGCGGCGAATTGGCAAGGGCGAATTCACGTTCGCTACTTGACGTGGGAATATTTGCCAACTTTTAAGTGTCTTTCAAAGCAATTACAACTTTGGCTTTGATTTCGCCTTGACTGTTGACAGCCGCGAAATTCAAAACTTTATGGTTAAGTGAATTTCTGCAGTTGGCAGCAAAACATAAATTTATATTGAACTCCTCTAAATTTATCTCAACATTATTTAAAAGATAAATCATAATTTATGGTTATCTCAGATGAAAATCACTTTCACTAATTACTTGCGTATAAGTGAACAGTTAAAGTCACTGCAAATTTTTGCTATGAATATAATTTGGTGCCGCTTTAAAGTGCAACATAAAGCAGCAATTTGCCACATGCAACGTGAGGCATAGCCACAATCTAGACACGCACAAGTTATGCTCTCGTTAGCGAACATCAATCGTAGGCGAATCAAATGGGCAAACAAACTGAGCTCACATTAGCCAAATACCCTGTAAGCATGCAATATTTGTAATAAATCAATGCTTCCAGGTAGCCTACTTAGTTACTTTTGAGTTAATATACATTCAACGAATCTCACGTACAGGGTATAAACAGTAGCAGAGCAGCATTGGCATACCCTGTAAGCTAGCAAATGTTTTATAAATATTAATTACGTACATCAGAGACCAAACCGGAGTCGTGACACATATTTATTACAGGGTATATTCATTAGGCTGATTTTTCTTTGGAAGTCATTTATACCCACTGCTTCTTTAGTACAAGGCTTAAGAACTCAGTCTACCGTTAACTGTATCTCTTAGCTACAATCAGCTGTTTTTAACAATTCGAGCAACATGTGAATAAAAGCCAATGGTCATGCACGCCCAATGCGCTCATACTACAGAGTATAAACAATCGCTGAACTGTTAACTGTGGATGCATTGAGCTGTCTGTTGCTTTATCAGCTCGAGCAGCAAAGCTGAATGGCAATGGCAGTGAAATACTAGATATTAGAAATGCCCGTAGATGTATGTATGCAATATATTATATAGTAGTAAAAAATAATTACTATTTTCGCAACTTCTCTCATACATCGCACATCGCACATCGTATATCGGCTTTTCCGTTGCACATCTGCCCGGTTTTGGGTCTTTCTTTATTCAGTCGGCCTATGGAGCTTCGCGTGTTTGGTGCACTGACATTGCATTGCCCATTGCCATAGAAGGTCTTACTGACAGTCGTCTATGGCCATAAAATTGGATACGTACGGAGTAAGCGTGGCGATATAATTTTAGTTGCTTCGTGTCACTTACTTTACCTGTGCAGCCGAAGGACTTGAGTATTTTAGTCAACATTTAATCGAAGTAATTATAAATAACTTTTTGTTTAAATATAAAATTGGTCTCTATATACAATTTGGGCCTAATAACTAAAATGATACAAATATTTATAAATTGTAATATAAATAATAATTTAAAACATTATTATAGGCATTAAAGCGAAAAATACAAATTTTGCTTCAAACTGGATTTGAAGCCGAGTCTGCCATTTATCAAATGCACAATTGCTCCGCTATTCCTTCGCCATAAAACAAATAGGAAGAGAGAGCGAGTGAGAGAAGTGAACAAATATAAGGAAGTTAAATTTCCCTCTTATTTAAGAGAGGCAGAATGAAAGAGACTGCAATATAAAAAGCCTTAGGAAAAACTCACGACAGTATTTGAGCGAATAAAAACAAAGGAAAATAAAAAGTCCTAGGATCATTTTTGTTTTCGAATGTGAATCTTCTCATTATTAATATAGAAAAAGTGGTAATACATATAATAACAAAATATATAATTATAAATTAAATAATTTAAATTGTATAATATAATTTGTATTAATATCACAATATATAATGTACTTTCCTTCTCTTACAGAATTAAGAACTATGGCACATCTTCCAGGCAGCTCACATTGAAATAATACGGAGTTCATCCTGTGCCACCTTAGCGTTTACCTTCAAGGAGTTCTTGCAGAGAGAACAGCACCAATGATTAATCATGCAGCAAACATTATCATATTCATCATCACCTTCACCAACTCTCATCTCGGCAATAGCTCAGCCAAACATCAGATCGCCCACGTCGGACACGGACACAGCGACAGGCACAGCCCCAGCTACAGCTACCGTCACGACCATAGCTACGCCTGCTATAATCTCTGTCGACTATAGCTACGATCGGAATAGCATAATGTCGCCATCAGCTCATAGCAATGTCAGCCATACAGCCAAGCGGGATCGGCGCGGATCAGAGATTACCTCGGAAACGCTCTATATGGAGAAGGGTTCAGCGAATATTCAGCCCTATAGCAGTTTGTTTGGCGATCCAGTGCCCCCACCGCAGCCAGAAGATTACTTTGGCACTGCAGCCTTTGAGACGATACGGGCAGGATCTATAGAAATACCCAGTTCCGAGGAGGATACTCTTGTGGCTGCCGTTGCCCTCAACACGCTCATGGGCCAGGAGAATCGGCGAAGACTCTTCTCGGAAGTGCCCTATAGCACCCTAAGAGCACAGTCTCAACCCATACCACGACTGCAACCGCCTGACATACAAATACTGCCCAATTCGAGCGGAGGCTCCAGCTCCGAGCAGCTCGATTCACCGAATTTTATGCTTCTCACACCGCAGGACATAGTCAATAAGCCAGATGTATACGATTGTGAGTACGAACAGGCCACACAGGCTACGGAGCACACTTTCGAGGATCAGGAAACACAGACTGGAAATAGGTGAGTGAACGCAGCAGTTGGCCAAATAAGCATTTAGCTAATTGAGTCACTTTTGCAGGACAATATCGGAGCTGGATTGGTATCGTCCAACGCCACAGCATTTCGCAGAGTTCAGCCGGATACCCAAGCTGCGACCCAGTTCGAAGATGGTGATGTCCATGAAGCACGAGGAGATGCCTCTATCTCCACTAGCCACCATGCTGCAAGACTCAAACGGTTCGAGCAGCAGTGGGGAAGAGCAACTGCTGAACACTGAAGCACAACAAATGCCAGTCAGAAGCGCGACACCCACGATGGACAGAAATCTCATACTCTCGCCAAAGCAATATCTGCAGCAGCAAAGGGAACTACTACTCAGTGAGCGGCAGCTGCTTGAGAGCATGCGGACTTATGGCTTGGAGAAACCGCAAACACCCAGACTGCAGCAAAGTCAGCTACCAGAGTCCAGCACTGAAATGGAGGAGCAGACGCAATCACAGATTTTGTCGCCCGTCGTCATGAAGGAGTCGATTGCAACGGGCGGTGAATATCGGTGAGTTCGAAGACTGTATTAAATAATTCTTCTCTCATCCAAACTCGCTTTCTCTCATTCCTCAGTGTGGGTGACACACGGCTGCATAAGAAGTCTGCCTTCACCATACTCTCGGTGCGCTCACCCAAATCGTCGTTGGGTCACAGTCCAAGTGCCACGCCTGTGACTCAACGGCAAACAGCGATCAGCAGGCATCCCTCGCTACAGTCAACCACTACCTCGTCGAATGCAGCTCAGCCACAGCCACAGCTGAGGCCGCGTCGCAAGTCGCTGACGGCCTCCCGCTTGCCGCAATTGCCAGTTAGCAGTCAGCCGCTTAATGATGATTCCCCACGGCCCTCTGTCCAATTCAATATGAGCGGACGTTACAGTCCAAGCAAACTGGCCATGCCCACCAAGGGCATATTGCAGCAGAGGGATTCGTTGACCTCGTCGGTGGATACGTATACGCCGCGTGCTCAGAGACGCGATTCCATTGGTATGACCTCATCTCCATTTGGTCAGCGCATCAAAAGTCTGGAATCGTTGCCCCTCATTTCGCAGCCCTATCGCAGCGCCATACCTCGATTGCATAGCTCCTCCATGGAGCTGGACAAGGAGACTAGCCGTTTCCGGAGATCCTCAATGGAAATGGAAAAGGAGACATCAGTAATACCACCGGGCACATTGCCGCGTCCTTTAAAGCCAAACCCGAATCCTACACGTAAGCAGCGTGGATTGCTTGGAGTGATCAACAAGTCCATAGATGAGGACTGCCCCGGTCAACCAGCTCGTTCGAATTGGCTGAGTTTGGATGATCTAACAATGGGCACACAGTTGCCCAAGTCCACGTTCGATCCCATGCGCATCCAGGCAAGACGGCGTTCTAGCTCTACGTCACCCGAGCGACGCAGTTCCACGCAAACTGCTTCAGATCGCCGCAGCTCAAATCTGAGCAGCATCACCACCTCCGATTTTAGTTTCCGCCGATCCTCGACACTTTCAACACTGCCAGCAACAACCAAAGCAGGAATGCAACGCCGCAAATCAGTTTATCAGCCCGCTAGCAAGCTGAAGAGTCCTCGACGACAGCCCTTTCCGAGCAAGGACTCAAAGCGCGCCAAGATAGTCAAACCAAGTACTCTGTCACCCATTATAGGCACACCGAACAAGGATAGCGGCAAGGATAGTCCGCTGCATGGCGATGCCTACGAGGCCGCTCACAGAGATACACCATCCGACCTATCGATGCGCCGTGATTCTGTATCACGCATACCTGTACGCAGTCGCCAGGATTCATATCCAAACAGTCGTTCCAACTCGCCACTCAAGGACTTTGCCAATTTGTCCAGCCTGTCCGGCAGGAACTCACGAGCCAGCAACAGTCGTTCACCATCGCAGACCACGATTCGCAGTAGCTTTGACAACCAGGCTCAACTCGACAGCAGATTGACGCCTACGCGCTTTAGTAGCAGTCGCCCCGTCTCTAGAGGTCCACCCTCTAGACCTAGCTCCCGCATGGCTCAAGCAAAGGATAGCTTGCAAGCCAACTCCAGGGCCAACTCGCGAGCCGACTCCCGAGCTAACTCTCGAGCCAACTCGAGGGCAGATTCACGAGCCAACTCACGGGCAGAGTCACTGGCCAACTCTCGAGCTAACTCCCGTTTGAGCGTGCGTTCATCCATACGTTCCACGAGCATTTCACCATCGACAGCAACGCGCAATGGTCGTCAAACTAAAATTTCACCCAATCGCAGAAAATCTGTTTCCACAAGTCCCAAGGGTTTGCCGCCGAAGGGCATGCTTGGACGTAGAATGACCCTGAGTCCTGCGGTCAAGCAGGGTAAGTCGACGCCAAAGCTCGAGCGTAAGGAAAGCCCCCTCAGCAGTAAACGTAGAAGTTCTCGCTCTCTTATACCAACAAGTGTGCGTAGATCTGTGTCCAAATCCAGTTCTCCAGCCAAGAAATCGACGGACAAACCCTCAGATAAGTCTGCAACGCCCAAGAGCAGGAGGCCTACACAAATCTTGTCTAAGCCGAGCCCCAAGGAGAAATCCAACAAAGCAGAAAGTGCCAAAAAGAAAAACACCGCAATAATCAAACCTGAGTTCAATCTTAAGCGAAACGGAAGTAAGATTCTCGCGAAAGCCACGCCCAAAAGCAGCCAAGCAAATAAGCCAAACAAAACTCCAACAAAGCAGCAAAAACAGGGGGCTGGACAAAAGAATGGTAAAGCAGATAAGCCAACTAGCAAAGCTAATGGAGCTACTGGCCTACCCAAGCCCCAAGTCCGTGAAGCAGCTCAGCAAAAAAACAATAGCAAACCTAACGGAAGTCCAGCCACTAAAACCAAGCAAAAGGAATCGCCAGAGAAACTGGAGACAACTGCTGCTGCTGCTGCTACTCCTGCTGCTACTGCTGTTGCTGCTTCTAAGGAAACTACGGAAGATAGCATAAATCCCTTGGCCATCCATGTGGGTAATGCGGTGAATGTAGCTGCAGAAGCTTTGCCCGCAGTTCGTAACGAGGTGAATGCCAAAACAGGAGCTGTCAAGCGTCAAACTTCCAACATGTCCAACTTGGTGCGCATGAGCTCACGTCTCAGTTTGGTAAGCAACAAGAAGCGATCCGACTCCGCACAGAATCGCAAAGTGGCAACGGTTCCAGAACAGGCTCAAGAAGGTGAAGGTAAGTGGAAATATTCCCTCTTCTCTATCTGCCGATACTGATTGAAATCTCTCTTCATGTAAATTCACAGTATCCAACCGGCAGCCTACACCACAATCTGGCGACAGCTTAGACCCGGCTGCAACAAGTTCTGAGGCTATGGACGGCACCACCGAAGCTCAGAAAACGGTTAATGAACATTTAATTGACCAGAAAACCCATGAAAATGAATCAGGACTTGCCCCAATTACTACTGCCTCGCCCACACCCAGTGGCGTCACAATGCTGGCCAAGGCCCATGATAGCGCTCCTCGGCTGGACACAGCCGATGGTAGCAATGCCCAGCGCAGCTCCCCCGCCGAGTTACAAAAATCCCCCCTACCGCCCACACAACCCATTGAGGCATCGATATCGGTGCTGAATGCCCTGGAATCAGATGCAGCAAGCGCTCAGCTTAGTGCTGTCCCAGAAGCCGAAAACGAAAGAGCCAATCCTCAAGATGATCACGCTAAGAACTTGGAGCACCCAACAACGACAGCTGGACTCGGTGACGACTTTCCAGTAGATGACAAACGACTCTCGCCCGATGGCCAGGGTTCGACTGTGGGCAGTGGGGGAATTGCCAAGTAAGTAAAGGCATTTTATAGTCTTAAGTATGTAATGTACAGAATATTTATATATAGTCCATGATCGTGGAGTTCGTAGAAAAAGAAAATTATTGATTATTATTAATCAGCTAGCGTAATCCATACATTCTGATCAAAAGTATATATATTGTAGTGTGGGGTCTATCTCATCTGCTTGGGATAATTAAATCAATATATAAAATTAAAATTCCGGTTTACAGCAAAATCGTCTCTAAGCTGACTATAGGAACTGTCTGCTAAACAACTTTCCCATGCATAAAAAAACCAAAAAAATCTCTGCCAATTTGCCACAATTTTTTGTTTGCAAGTCTACTAACTTTTTTCTTCGTTCCTAAACTCTCCAAGAAAAAACAATTGCCAGGCATATGTATACCCCTTGGCCAGTAAATTTACATAGCCGGAAACTGCACGAACAAGAAACGTACGGGCAAAACTTTAGACCGCCAAACCACGTAGCACACACACACGCAAACATCATACATACCTATATAAATGTATGTATGTATGTATATAGGAATAAATATATATATACATATATATTTATATAGTTGTAGTTGTAGTGGGCTTTGGGCCACCAGGCCACTCATAAATGCGTCAATAAATTTACGAGCTGCTCGGGTTTGAGGGGAGGAGCAAACTTTAGGGCGACCATACGAAACGCCTTTAAGGATATCCGTTCGCTTGCCTTGTCGTCCTCAGGCGCCGACGTCCTTCGAAGTGTGCATATATACAGACGTGTATACGAATGTATGTGTTATATTGCAGGTCGACCAGTCGAGAGGTGTGCACATACATAACAATCTGCCTAGCTACTTAGTTTTCGTGGCATGTCCAAAGTTTCATGCCGCAATAACAAATCAGTTCCAGCCGGACAATCGCGCCAACCACAACTAGGATTCAAATTCAAATTGAACAAAATACAAAAAACAATATTGATGAAAAATACTTAGATTTTAGCGAGTGATACCTGTGATAACTGTGCTACCTAAGCATGTTGACCAAGAAGAAAAAGAACTCGGTTGTCTTTCACATTGATCTGCCGCAGAATTCGTTAATCGAACCGGATAAATATTTATTTAGGTAAACAACAAAATTATTTATTATGTGTTGTATATTTGATTTGATATGAAATAAGGACAACTCCAAAAGGGAAGTTAAGAAGTTTTTACGAGTTCTTATCAAAAATTTATCTAGAGCTCAATTTCATAATGAAAAAGTTTGTATTTTGTTTCCACATATTTTGAGCAATGCGGATATAGATTTATTTACTTCATATATGTATATATAGTTCAACTGAAAGACATATTACAATAATAATATAACTAATCATAATAATAGAACTAAGAGAACACAATTTGTTTTTTTTTTTATAATTATGATAATTATTAATTTGGTAATGGAAAGACGCAAAAGAAAATAGTGAAAACAAGAAATGGAGTTCACTATACCCACATGATTTTTATAAATATTGTATACCTTTTTTCCTTTTAGATAAGGAAAACAATTTTAAAAAACCTCTTAGACAACGTTTGACTAGCTTATAAATAGTTTAAAACTGCTCCTTAAAACAGCTTAATATACGGTATATTTCCTTTCTATATACGGTACTCCATGATAATTAAGAAATAGTCATTGAGCAATGCGGAAATTGTTGCAAGCTCCGAAAACTCCGAAAGCTAAAGTTTTGTTTATTCTCCACAATATATATTATATATGTGCAGTCCAATGTTAATTGAGTAGTTAATGCGACAAAAGTACGAAAAACTTGTAGTTTCTTTCGACTGGCGTCAAGCTCTCGACCTCCAAATGAAGTTTGGTCGTTGGCTCGTGCGGTTGTTGAAATCATATTTATTAGCGTGTGGGATATTTTACTTTTTCTTACCTTTCGGCACGTGGTCGAGTGGAAAATTGTGTAAGTGAGGGCTAATTTATGTTTAGTTAAAGTACCCATTACAGTCGACGATAGCCCGAAACGAGAAGCTAACCTTGAACTTAAAGTGGGTTTAATAACCCTCCAGGCAAATGCGTGTGCGTAACAGTAACCAAATTCAATCTGTGAATGAACTATATATGTACAAATATATATACATTATATATTATATATTTAATGTACTTTCAACTTTTGACCTATGAGCAAAATATGTGCATTCTAATGCAAATGCTCTCGTGCAATTCATCTTTATCGCATTGAATGCAAAAGTCATTAAATATGCTAATGAAAATGTGTGGCAACAATGCAACACGAAATCGATTTGCATAATAAATGTGAACCATGCAAATTGAGTGCAAATTATTACCATGATATCACAAAAAGGACAAGGTCTCACTCGGCCTGTGGTTATTACCCACAGTTTCCGATAGACAGCTATTATGGCAATTATGTCTCGAAATCAAGGCTATAAATGAAGGCTGATTCCGTTAGACAACTATTATAGCTATTATAGAAGTCAAGGAGTAGATAGAAAATTTATAATTGGTTTTTCCAGCTCTTCCGAATTTCCGATATTCATATAAAGCGTATAAGCATAAAGGCAAAGGCGAATGAAATCTGGTTGAAATAGATCAATATTATAATTAGTTTTTAGCCTTTACTAACTTGACAGCAAATTTCCGGTAAACAAGGCTGCAAATCGAATCGTATTGGCAGTGATTTATAATCGAGGCTCAAGTTGGAATAACTAACCCCATGCCCTATACAACTCTGTGATTATACAATGATTCCTATACTTTCTTCTTTCAGAACTGGCAGTCAGGAGTTCCTAAAGGATGATGTGGGCAAGGCTGGCTGCTGCCGCTGCTGCACCACGCTTTGCATGCGTTTTCGCCGCTCTCGCTGCATGCGCTGCTGCGGACTGCGCAAGGACCGCCTGCAAGATGCTGCCGATGAGCAGCAGCCTGTGCTCGCGAGCAGTCGGAGCAGCGCCTCGACAACAACCCAGCTGGAGATAGTTGATGAGACGAAGAAGAAGTCTCGCTGTTGGCCCACATCCAATTGCTGCAAAAGTTGTCGCAAAAAGCCAAAGTCCACTGAGATCGCAGAGGAGAAACAGACCAAAATGAGCGTGGAGCCAATGCACAAATCCACATCAAGCCATCAACCAAAGCACCAGAGTAAATGTGGCATGTGCTTGCGCAAGGTTTTCTGCTGTCGATCCGTCAATAAAGTTGATCCCATAACGGGCGACGAGACGGAGCTGAGCAAATGCTGCTTCTGTATACCCTGTAGACGCAAAAGTGCCGCCGTTGCAGCGGCCACCGAGCCTAAGGTAGCTTGGCGAGATCAGGATCCAGAGCTGGGCATAGCTCCCACAGATGCCGCCGTACTAGAAGGCTCTTCAATGGCGCCATCGGCAGTGACAGCAACAGAAGACGTGACCAAAATGTAAGTTGAGCAGCTAAATACTTTCGAGATTGGAATTTCTGGTTGAAATTTTTAAAAATTTGAATTTGTTGAAATCGATAGTTAGTTCAGTAGTTTACGATTATTCTTCTTATTGGTCAGCAACTCCATTGTTCGACTGACTGATGATCGTTCAATGAGAATCGTTAGCAATTATAGCAATCGATTGCATAATATCGCTTAACTGAATTAGTTCTTTTTTGCACTTCCAGGAGTTGCTGCAAACGGTTTTGGCTGATGCTGTTTTGCTGTCGAAAGAAACCGAGACAAGCAGCCGATGCGCGCCGACAAAGTATTGTAGCACCACCAACAAGTGAGGTAAGTCCTGATTGATTAATTGAGTCAACTTAAAAAAAAATAAAATATTTAATATTCTGGCTTAAGTCTCATACAAAGTTCGAGAATATGTGTATATCTAGTTTTTATATTAAATTTAGATTTATGTTCTTCCTTAGGAAACGCGTCGCAAACTACATAATGACCTGGTGGAGTATACGTCGAAGATGAAGGCTGCCATACCGGTGCTACCGCTTTACCTAGCCTGGTTTTGCGCTTTCTGTAACGTTGTATTCCCTGGCTTAGGTGGGTATACACAACTACTTATAATACCCAGTACATTATATGATATGCACACTTTTCCATAGGGACTCTACTCTCTGGTCTATTCTGCCTTTGCGTTGGCATTCCACGTTTCTCGCAGTTCGACAGCGCGCGCGCACGCATTGGATCCTTTATCATTAATATTATTGTGGCTGTCTCTCAGTTTTTCTGTGTGCTCTTCTGCTTTGTGGGCTGGGGCTGGTCCATTTGGTGGGGCACCATCATGTTAAAGTGTGCAAGTAAGTTAGACTAACGCAAAAACATTTATTGATAAACATATATCTATATATTGTACTTTTCAGAGAAACTGAGCAAGATCAAAAAGGTGGAACGGTTAGAGTTGGAGGAAGAACAGCGTCAGGCCGATATAGCGGCCGCTGCGGTGCGAGCCGAGGCAGAGGCGGCAAAGACATAAACGTCTCTAAATATACAATGGATCCGATAAGGATGCAAATAAAAAAGAAAGCTTCCACATATTGCATACCCATACACTTCCAATCAAACTTCCAATACAAAGTGAGATGGCAGTGGACAATCCAATTGGAAACAACCATACCAATCGAGTCAATCTTCCAAGACATATTTAGATGGCAACGTATAGTCCAATTGGATCCAATCAAAATGTTTTTTAACTTCCAAGACAAAATATAGGCAATCCAAATGGAAATAAATAAAAGATCAAGGCAAACTTCCATTTTAAAATGGCATAAATCCGGAGAAGAAAAACAGAAATTCATTTCCACATGTACATATACATATATACATGCATACATATATGCATAAATAAAAATTTATATAAACTTTTGCAAATAAGTGACCTTACATGTAGACCAATAACAAATTGGGATTAATAAAAAATAATTTTATTACTAATAAAAATGAATTAGGCATTGCATTAAATTTACTTGGCGGGACAAATGATGGAATAGCGAGCTAGATGAACAATGGATTACACACTTCCTCTAAGGGTTTCTTATAAAAATGTCCTCTTAGAATTTCTTCCTCAACTATTTCTTCTGTCTCACCTCCAAGCATTTCCTTTAAGTCTTTAATGCTTAGCTGAACGCTCACACATTCACTGCACGACTGACCCCTACCAGGCCAGGACAACTGAAGAAATGCTGCAGAAGCTGCCCTTTATATAGGGCTACTTTCTCTCAGACACCAAGTCGCGCTCAAATGTCGAGCCCGACGCCAGGTAGGGTCGTTGTCAATGGGAACACGCTCTGCTGCTGCAAGCATTCTAGCTTCGTTTTACTCAAATATAAATACTAAATGATTACTTTAAAGTCACCTTTGTGACTTGTTATTGTTCCCTTAAAGACCACCTTCAAATAGGCAAGTTCTAGCCTGAAATTGGTATTCTTCAATCTCGACTTATCACTGCTTGGCGGTATATATAGGGAAAACTTTCTTTTATTGCTGCTTCTAAAAAACAAAACACTGCTTGCTTGACTGCTTGTTTGTTTAGCTAGTGCCAGGGCAGCTATAAGCTTCGTTAGCTCATGTGAGTCAGTGGTTCTATCGAACTTGTTCGGAGCTGTTCAATACAGCCCTGTGTAAAAAAATAAATTTTAGCATCGCCACGCGAATGTAATTTCATCTATTTCTTTTGCAAATAAATTACAAAATGTCGCACTTGGTGAAAATGGAAAATGGCCAGAGCCAGACCATACAGGAAATGTTGGGTTGCATTGAGCGGTAAGCGGCTTTTGTCGGTTCTCATAAACAAATATACATACGAAACATAACCTCGTTTTATTTGTTGTTTCCAGCTACAATCCGGACCACTTAAAGATACTCGAATCGTATGTTCAGGACCAGGCTAAGAACAACACCTACGATTTGGAAGCAAATTTGGCCGTCCTCAAGCTGTATCAATTCAATCCTCACATGCTCAACTTCGATATCACCTACACAATTCTGCTGAAGTGTTTGACGAACTTGCCGCACACGGACTTCGTGATGGCCAAATGTCTGTTGCTGCCGCAGCAGATGAAGGACGAGAATGTGCAGACAATTATTGACTTGGCCGATATATTGGAACGTGCCGATTTCACATTGTTCTGGCAACGCGCTGAGGTCAATCGCACGATGTTCCGTCATATCAGCGGCTTCCATGATTCCATACGCAAATTTGTTTCCCATGTGGTGGGTATCACGTTCCAGACAATCAAGAAGGATTTGCTAAAGGAGCTGTTGGGCGGCATTGAAGACTCCACACTGGAGAGTTGGATTAAGCGCAACGGCTGGAAACATCAGGGACAGGATCTTGTGGTCGTAGCCACCCAGGACGACAAAATCAAGACGAAGAACATTACGGAAAAGATCGAATTCGAGAATGTGGGTGCACTGATGGCACAATGTATCTAAGCTAATTAATTAAGGTTAAGTGATGCTCGACATGCCAATAAAATCCAGGCAACGACATTTATCAACTAAATACAGTATTTATTTGCAACCTTATTTCAATCTAAAATTAGTCAACTTTAAGAGTTCTTAACCTACAAAAAAAATCTACGACTGCTTCTTGAACTTCTTCAATATGGGAAATATCTTATCGAATGCATCGTAGATCTCCTGTCGCACCTTGGCGCCAGTAAGCACCACCTTGCCCGAGACGAAGATAAGTAGGACAATACGTGGGCGCACCATTCGATAAATGAGACCGGGAAACAGCTCCGGTTCGTAGCTACTGAAGTTGCAATGCGTTAGAACAAGACCCTCCAGTCGGATGGGGAACTTCACATCGCACGAACCAACCATATTTTGTATTTTAAAGTCAAGGAATTTTGCCTGCCAATGAAAACCAATTACATTATTAAAAATGCATGTCGGTTAGACGTTGCTCGTATCTAGCAATCGAGACTTACCGGAAAGCCCAGCTTCTGTATGATGCGCGCATACTTGCGAGCTGCCAGCCGCGAGTCGTCCTCGCTCTTGGCCCCAGTGCAAACCATTTTGCCGGAGCTGAAGATCAGAGCCGTGGTCCGCGGCTCTCGGATGCGCATGATAACGGCCGCAAAACGCTTTGGATTATACTCGGCATTACGTGCGTGCAGAGCAATTCTCTTTAAATCCAATTTGCAGCATAGGTTAACAGTGGACACTATATTCTGCAGCTGCGGCACAATGCCCGGATCGGCGGAGCCCGGTGTGGCAGGGGTCATCGGTGTTGACGGACCCATTGTCTGGTGAATGTTGCTCAGAGATGAATCTCCTGGTGCATTTCGCTCTGTCATTGGCATCATGTGTGACATCATGCTCTGCGGCGTTTGTGGCTGCATTAGAGATTGGGGCGTGCTGCCGCCTGTGTTGCTGCTTTGCTGTTGTTGTTGTTGGTAGGAGGCAGATGGCTGATAGCTTTGCATTTGTTTGTGAGCAAGAGGTATGGACGGCTCGTGCCCAAATAATCCACTGCCACTGCTGCCATCGGGCACGCCCGTTCCATTGTCTGTCTGTTGTTGTTGCTGCTGCTGCTGCGCTGTGGCCGCCGTTGTTGTTGGCTCTGGTGCGGGTGGATGATAAACTTGATGTGGTAATGCTTCGATTTGTTGATCGGCATCCAGACTGTGATGTAGCGGCGTCGGTGCATGCCCAATGCTGGGAATTGAAAATCCTGGACTTAATATATCATCCATGGCGATGCTTTTATTTATTTTTCTTTGTTATACTAATGCAAAAACTGGTGAAAATGCAACAGAAATATGCGAGCGCAAATGGAAAGCCGCGTCGCTCTTCAGGGTTGCAATAAACACTATTCGCGAGTACCAATGAATATCTAACTAGTTCAGCACTGGTTCATTTGCGCTTGCATGTATCGATGTATTCATCGTTATTCATCGTTAGTGGCAAAGAAAGCAATTTCGGCTGTTAACAGCTATAATTAAGTAACCAAATCTCTATATCTGGCATTTTCACAAATTTAAAAAAAAATGTTTCTCTGCCAACTATTTTAAACTTCTAAAATATATATCGGTTAGCTAGTGTAATCTTCTATTGCTTGCATTCACTTTATCGCTCGTTAGTTTTTCTTACTCATGCTATCGATGCACTCATATATCGTTGGAACGATAGCTCTATTTACCTATATGTAATCGAAAACATTTTAAATTAATCTGATTAACAATTTTTTAAACCCAAATTCAAACATGTATTTTTCATATGTACAAAGAATCAAAATGCTTCTAACGGCTTTATTTAAGTGGCTTATAAAATAATTAACAGTTAGGATACAAATACACAATGAAATTACCATATGCAGCACATATATAAATAAAAATATTAGTAATGTAAGACACATTTAGAATATCTTTGTTGAATTAATACCAGAAAAATGTGTGTATATGTGTGTTTCACAAAAGTATTTCCTTTAAAATTTTATTTCATTATCTTTTTTTTTTTTTTTTTTTTTTTTGTTGTTAATTTTCTCTTTTTATTTTTTATTAATTATTCTAAATGTTTTTATTCTTTGGCCCTTTTAACACACGTTAGCTGTTGCAAACTTAACGTGTTTCATAGCCATAAATACAATAGCTGCCGCATATATGTATATATGCATACATATATATCCCGATCTTCCTTTTCCGCTTTTCAATTGCCCTCTGGCTTGGGCAAATTCGTGTCATATGCCCGTATAACAATAGATTGCGGTACAGCACCACCCTCCTCTTGCGAAAATGCATAGCCATCTGGTTGGAAAAGAAATGTACCAACAGATTATATAGATATATCAGACACGGTAATTATATGTCATTCGTGTATGGGATGGGGAAAGGGTATTTTGTTTTTAATGAACGTGTGGATGAAGTGCACAAATAAATTCAAATATCATTGTTCTTTATTGAGCGATTCACTACAGCTGATAGCCATGGCTATATACACAGGTATATACTGCTATATACTAACTGTCTGTATATGTATATGTTAACTAGCCCATTTAAAAATGAAGTACTGCCCAAACCCTGTTTGTCCTGCACTAATAGCACATCGGGGACATTCGTTGGATCTGATTCGGTATATGGTTTGTACTCACGCGATAATTCTAGTTCCGTTTCGACTCTTGTGTTGGCACGGCGGGTGAAAACATTTCGTAGCAATCTCGCCGTTTCAGTAAATCTGTAGAATTAATTGTATTTTTTTTTCGGGGGGATTGGATTTTTTTAGATGGTTTGTAATGGAATATATCACTTTTACTTTTTAATATATTTTTTTAATTGAAACCAAACATAAAAAGTTTAAGAATTATTTTTGGGATTTTTTTGTTTAGCAAGTTATTAAATTTCTGCCTTTTCACCAATTTATTTAATTTTTTAAGGTACAACAATTATTTTCATTTTGAATTGTTAGCATCTACAGACCGTTAAAAAAAAAAAAAAGAAAGGTGAGCGGCTTTTGGAGAGCAATAAAAAGTCTACAATCAAAGGTGACAAACTTTTTATGGAGCATGCAAATTTTTTAGAAAATAATTATGTTTCTTCAATATTAGTTAACCAAAGTAGAAATATGTTTGAGAACAGAAACATGCAATGCGAAAGCAACCTTAAGATAGGTATTTATTTGTATATTTTACAAACGTCTGTGCTGTTTTTTTTTTTTTTTTTTTTTTTTTGTTTTACCATTTGCCTAACACAATCTAGTCTAATTGCAACAGTTGTTTTAGAAGCCTATTCACACGAATGGATGTTTTGTGACTGTATATGATAAATGACTAAGGAGTTTGGATTTTAATGAAATTATATTTATACGAGGGTAGTCTGACAAGTTCGCAAAGTGAATATGATTTAAGAAGCTTTGAAAATTCTTAAGGGGTTTTCCAATTTCTTTCGATTTTCCATTAAGTTCTGCAACTTTTTGAACTACCCTCGCAATATGTGTACATTT